TATAAATATCATTACAGTAGCTTCTTTTAGGACTTTTTATTTTATACTAACAGACTAGACTGGAGGTTTATTCAATAGAACCCTGTATCTTTAAATAACAGCCCATCTCCAATAACAGTAACCATCACAAAGCTACTTTAATGGATCAAAAGACCATTGTCTTCTTTGCACTGTGTTTTTCTAGCTAGCATATATCTAAAGCTGCATTGTGAAATCTGAGGCTATTTTCCACATTTCTAGAGCAGATTTTGACTAGGACACCAAGGAGAAGGATTAATGGCTGAGGAGACCCCTGGTCTGAAGCTAACAAACAACAGAAGCAATAAAATAATAATAACATAGACACAACTAACAAGAATCGGATGTTTGGGAGATACACGGTGATTTAAAGGATCTCCTCCCAGCAGGGCCTGCCGTCATGTGCCGGTTAGAAGCTGCGGCGCCTCGACCACCGTCTGTTTTCACCTTTCTTGGTCTTTTATCAACCAAATAAGCCCCTCAAAGCTAGACTCACACACCCAACAATCTGTAAATGTTACTAAGAAGATACTCACCAAAGTGCTGAGGTCCTGTCTGGCCAAGTGAGGCTGACCGAGCGTTGTTCCAGACTCATCACCCGCCATCTTGGATGAAAAGGGAACGGAAGAGGCGGTTCCGCCTGAACACATGAAAAATAACAGATATATGTAGTCTTTTAAATTTATTTAAACGTTTACTCTCGATAAATAACAAGGAATTATCACAATGTAAACAAAATAAATTAATATACAGAATTCCGCTGTTTTAAATGAAGAAACTCTTCAAAGTTAGAGATGGGGTCCTTACGGAGCGGCTGATGCAATTTATCACGACCACGAAAAACAGCTTAACGCAGGCTTCTGCTGCTTATACCTCCTTAATATCAGCTTTATACTAAATCTGGACAACTTCTTAACAAACCACCACGATCTAAAGGGAGCGTAAATTAAATAAGAGTAATATCCCTCATGTTTGGGGTCCGTCTTTCAAAAGTGACGTCATACGTGTACGGTTTGTAGTTATTTGCTGATACTTTTGTAGTTCTGTGGATCATTCAATAAGGAATGATGAATTTAGCTGATTGATTTGATCTGATAGACTCATGACGTAAATAACAGTGATGATGACCAAACAAGACATGATAAAAATACAGTTTGAGATAAAAAAATTATATTTTATTAATTTCACTAACATATTTTGTAAGTGCAAAAAAACATAGAGAAATGTAAACAAATAATTCCTTTAAATACACTACAGCTTAAAGAAATGGAACAGTGCAGGAAATAAAGATGAAACAGATGGAGAGATGAATATGGAAAACCAACACACCGGATGAAAATTATCAGTATTTAGCAAACATTTTTGCTGCAACTAGCAAATTAGTTTCACTTGGTTTACTATTTACGAATGACATATAAAAACTTTTTTTATATATATTATTTCCAGTATGTTTCATAGAGTGGTAGAGTTGATAAAGCCAATGCTATAAGTGATTGTGCAGACCTTACTAATGGCATAGCATACAATTAGTATTACTAAACCTCTGGATGTTCCACGGAGGGCCGTTGGAGCTATTTTTCTCAGAAGTGGATGTTATTGTGAACCAGCCAAGATCAAATATCCCATTTGAAATTAGTATTTAAAATAATAATAAAGACCAGAGGAAAACTCTTGGAAAGAAATTGTATTAAACAGCCTGGGCAGGCTTTAGTCATCTACCTCTAAAAAATGTATTTATGCTGGCTGCATTTCAGCATTTAAATGATCATTTTAATCAGAAGTTTTAATTTAAGCAAAGTGGTTTTTTTTGTTTTTTTTTTCAGATTTTGCAATAGGTTATACACAGACATCAGACCGAACCCAATGCTAGATACAGTGAATATAGATTGATTCAAGCAAAGTGGTAAGATGCATGGGACACTTATCAATTGGATACTCAGACATGATAGTTCAATCACATTTAATTAATGGGAAAATATTCTACAAAGACTGCGATGGACTGGCGACCTGTCCAGGATGTTTCCCGCATCTCGCCGGTTGACAGCTGGAGGCAGGCAACAGCACCCCTCGCTTAGAATAAAGCAAGACGGAAAATGAATGCATGGATATTCTACTGAGACTTATTTGTCAGATGAACAGAGAGGGGTAGAAACCAAAGATTTTATTCATGCAAGAAGAAAATGATCAATTAAGGGTAAAAAAAAAAAAGTAAACAAATACAGGTAAATAGAATGGAGATAAAATAGAATATCAGACAGAAGAAACACTTTTCTGAATTAGTGTGTTTTTCAACATAAAGATACTTAACCTTACATTGGGTAATAAAGAACTTCCAGCTGTAATATTTATTTCATTCAGCTGATCTCTGAAGAGCGGTGTATCTTTCTTACAATAAAAGTTCCTCATTAACTTAGTGAATGTAACTAGTTACCACCAACCTCTGAAGAGGATGTATTGAATATGCCTTCCATGAAGACACATTAACTGATCTCATGTTAAGTTCAGATATTGTCTTTTTAAAAGCTGTACCCCCCCCCCAAAAAAAAAATAAAAATAAAATAAAAAATTATATGAATCATCATAAATGAATTATGTCAAGGCGATCTCTTGATGCCATAAAAGTAAAATGTATATAAATTAAATTGTAATGTTTTCACAAGGGCTGGGCGATATGGACTTAACCGCTTATCGCAATATTTAGTTGTAGTATCATGTTAACGATAAAAGGATAAAAAATGATCATTACCTTTTCCATCNAAGATTTTATTCATGCAAGAAGAAAATGATCAATTAAGGGTAAAAAAAAAAAAGTAAACAAATACAGGTAAATAGAATGGAGATAAAATAGAATATCAGACAGAAGAAACACTTTTCTGAATTAGTGTGTTTTTCAACATAAAGATACTTAACCTTACATTGGGTAATAAAGAACTTCCAGCTGTAATATTTATTTCATTCAGCTGATCTCTGAAGAGCGGTGTATCTTTCTTACAATAAAAGTTCCTCATTAACTTAGTGAATGTAACTAGTTACCACCAACCTCTGAAGAGGATGTATTGAATATGCCTTCCATGAAGACACATTAACTGATCTCATGTTAAGTTCAGATATTGTCTTTTTAAAAGCTGTACCCCCCCCCCAAAAAAAAAATAAAAATAAAATAAAAAATTATATGAATCATCATAAATGAATTATGTCAAGGCGATCTCTTGATGCCATAAAAGTAAAATGTATATAAATTAAATTGTAATGTTTTCACAAGGGCTGGGCGATATGGACTTAACCGCTTATCGCAATATTTAGTTGTAGTATCATGTTAACGATAAAAGGATAAAAAATGATCATTACCTTTTCCATCTTTTTAGGTAACTTTATGGCTGTAGCTGCCTGCAAAAGTAATAGCTCAACAGATGCTGCTATTGAAAAACCATACACATTTAAAATGGTCTTCTCCAGGACACCAGTTTCATAAATACTGGGATTTCTTAAAATCTTAAAACTCATGAAGATCTGATCGGTGCTTTTAGCTGAAGCTTCAAAGCACAGATTGTGTAATGACTTGCCTCTGCGTGGGGAATGTGAAAAGGGAAATAATGCTGTATTGTACATTTTACTTTATTTGATTTGTATCACTAAATATTCCACAGTGAATACATTTAATCAAAGAAAGAAAATAACTAGAAAAGAAAAATGAATAGAGAAAATTAAAAATAAATATTTTGACCAATCGTCCATTTTTTGGGAATTTTTAAACATCATTCATTTTAATTTTAGTCACATTTAATAAATCTCAAAATATTCCACTAAGACTTCTTTTCCAGATGAGCAGGGGGGTAGAACCCAAAGGTTTTACTCATGTAAGAAAGTAATCATCCAAGAAAATGGTCAATTAAAAAATAAATCACATGTTAATAAAACAAAATAAAAAATAAAAAATCAGGGAGAAAAAAACACTTCTCTGAATTAAAGGTTTTTCACCATAAAACCATTCTTTACATTTGGTAATGCATAGATAAGGATGAAGAACTTCCAGCTGTTACGGAGAAAATAAAAAATAAATATTTCGACCAATCGTCCATTTTGTTGAGAATTTTTAAACATCATTAATTCTAATTTACAATCTTTGATGATTAAAAAATATATATTTCATTAATTAAAATAAAAGACGAGATAATAAAACCATACAAGTTACAGCTGAAATCGTGAAGAAGGCTCATCATGAGGAGAAATTAACGAAACATGATCACCCCTGATTTAAACTAATTTAATTAGTCTATAAAATATGGAAGTCCCTTTCTGCCAGATATGCCAAATAGAAAGTTATAATTATGAGATACAAAGTCTGAAATTCGAATATCTCATAATTATGACTTTTAAAGCCATAATTATGACTTTGAAACTCGAAATTATGACTTTTTATTTGGCATTTTTTACTTTCATTTGGCAGAAATGTATGGAGGCCTGTTTCCGCCAAATGAAAGTAAAAAATGCGAAATAGAGTCATAATTATGAGATTCAACGTCATAATTTCAAGTTTTAAAGTCATAATTATGCGCTACAAATTAATAATTTCGACTTTCAAAATAATAATTGTGAGATTAAAAAAAATCATAATTATGAGATACAAAGTCATAATTTTGAATTTCAAAGTCATGATTAGAGATACAAAGTTTGAAAGTCGAGTATCTCATAATTATGACTTTCACAGCCATAATTATGATTTTGAAACTTGGAATTTTTACTTTGTAACTCATAATTATGATTTTGAAACTTATGAAAATTATGAAGTTGAATCTCATAGTTACGGCTTTCTATTTGACATTTTTTACTTTCATTTGGCGGAAACGGGCTTCCATAATAAATACTGTAGAGTGTAAAATCTTTTTTTTTTTTTCCTCTTTAACCGTAGTGATGCATCTCTCAAAATAGAGGATCTTCGCAGCTCCCTCAGTTCCGCCCAGAAGGGAAATGACGCCGGTGCAGAAGATGGAGTCCGTAAATCCTGTGGGCTGCTGTGCTCCTGTAGCCGTCTAATTCGGAGCCTTGTAGAGGGTCCCTTCGCCCGTCACATGGACCACCGTGGGAACCAGGCAGTCCCCCGCTGCCCTCCTCTCTCCTGATCCCGGAGCCGAACCCCTTACTTCATGTCCGACGGAGCCAGAGCTGCCTGGTCCAAGAGGGGTTGTGGGGATTCGCACCGCCGAGGTGAGACCGTTGGATTTTAGCCGCTAAGCTAAACCCTGTCCCCCCTAATGAGGACTGAGCCGTAGAGCAGCGGGCTGGAAGCAGCTGATGTGGCAGCTAGCCGCTGTGTGGAGCCTTTTTTTTGGAGGATTGAAATGAAAACAGATCGTTCCTCTTTAACCCGCAGCACAGCTGCTTATCGCTCTGAACACAGATGTGACCCAAACACCCACTAACTCAGCTTTAGTGGTGACAGCAGCTGTTCCCTGGAATGAAGCCAGCCTCAGGTGTGACTGCACCTGTTCTTATTTTCCACCTTTCATTCAGGGTCAAACCACGTGCTTCCTTTCTGGATTACATTGGTTTTCTGGTTGATAAATGAAACACTTTCATTTCTCTTCAAGTTAATATCTTCAGAATGAATTTCTGCCTAATTT